ATAATTAAGCCTGGAATTACAACAGCAGTTGCAAATTGAGAGAGCACGTGCCCAGACTTGATTTTTCAGCATTTTTTGTGGTGGTCGTTAACACAGCAGTCATTAAGGGACTGCTGAAGTCATTAAGTGAATCCATTTTACCCAAAGGGTGTTTGCGCCATTCTAACTTTGATACTGTATTGCATATAGCTTTTAGGGAGTCATAACTTCAAGTGGTAGCTAAGCAACTGGACGTAAGTCGGGGAGTATTGGAACATGCTTTCCATTTCTATTCAAATTTTCTAGGTGCAAAGCAAAGATAGGTGGGAGTATGGGGGACGCTGCTCCACCTGCTTTTCAAAGATAAAGGTACAGCCTCACTGCTAGTTACTGCAAAACTCAAGAATCCAACATATTGCAATGCACACTCCAGCTGATAGAAACCACTGGACTTTTAGAACAGGGAGGAATAATATGGGATCTTCTCAAAAGCTCTCTATCTCCAAGCAGTGGCCCTGCTGGATAGGAAAGATCACAGTTCTAAGATCTGGAGGGTGACATCATGCTTTAGAAGTTTCTTTTTAAGTGCTTTTATGCCACTTCAATCCAAAGAACAAGGCATCTTACAAAAATTAAGCCCTTAAATATAGTTTGCAACCATTTGGAGGAACACATGCACTCCGAATTTCAATAAGTGGCAGACCCTTCAAGGGTCAAATGGATCACAATTTAAATTGATGTTACGGGTCCTGTAAGAACCTACTTTATTCACTGGGATAGAGGGGGGGGGCATCTGCAAGGAAGGGGTGGTCAAAATCAAGATGATGGATGGAATGTTGGGATGCAAGCCCCGCCCCTTTGGAATGCCCATGTTCAAAAGGGCTCCCATCTTGACATTCCTTCTTGCCAACTTGCCAGTTTCATCCCTTCTCTGGATGACCCTAGAAATACTCAGGGTCAGGAACTGGGATTCTAGCACATTGATCTTCCTGAAACCCTTGCATTATCAACATTTCCACTGCACTCGCAAGCAAGAAAACAGGTTGAGCATGGTGTACGTGCACTTTGAAGGGGCAGGATGGGCAAATTTTGTCCATCAGGACTGATAGCAGCATTAAGCTTAGTTGGGCAGCTGCCAGGATCCAAGCAGTGAACGTGGGAACTAGGGCACTGTAGTCCCAAAGGTGCTTTTTCACGAGGCAACTGGACTTTGTTTTTCTTGGAAGACATTTCGCTTCTCATCCAAGAAGCTTCTTCAGCTCCAACTAGACAGTGGGGAATAAATCTTTCCATTCCCCACGATCCAGTCAGAGCTGAAGAAGCTTCTTGGATGAGAAGCGAAATGTCTTCAAAGAAAAACAAGAAAGTCCAGTTGCTTCCTGAAAAAGCCCCTTTGGGACAACCATGACCTGGATGACTGAGAATCTCCATAGACATAGGGCGTCGTAGTTTTGGAATGCTTTGGTTCTAATTAAGCACCCTTAGGAAGCCACTCCATGAACAGTCCCCCACCCCTCCTTAAAAGAAAAACTCCACATCCTCTCAGGCTTCTTGTGACACTTCCAACAGCTGTTTCCTATATGTTGAAGAATACCCCCAAAACAATGCTTAAATCATTGATATAGAACAGGGGCCTTCCAACTTGGCCCTTTTATGATTTGTGGACTTCAACTCCCAGAATTCCTCAGCCAGGTACACTGGCTGAGGAATTCTGGGAGTTGAAGTCCACAAGTCATAAAAGGGCCAAGTTGGAAGACCCCTCATATGGAAGCTAAGATAGTGGACCAACACAAGGCAAACACATGCTCCAGTCCACTGACAGCCACAAGCATCCATTGGGTGATTTTGGACCAATTTCCCCTCTTTTACCCCAAGGACCTGGGTGAGGTAGTGGTGAAGGTGCTGGACTAGGATTGGCCAGAGCCAGGTTGTAGCCCTCTTTCAATCATCAGAGAACTGAGTGATTCTGGGTCAGTTCCTCTAAGCTCAAGATCCAGTGTTATGTATGGAACTGGAAAAGTTCATAATGGTATTGAAAAGCCAGGTTCTATTCCCTCTTCAGCCACCAAAACTGATTGCTATCACAGAACTGTTGTGGTGGGGAAAACAGGTGAGATGGTTATATACATCGGCTTGAGCTCTCAATGAAAGGGAGAATCTAAACCTAATGCTGAGTCTAATAAATAACATGTGTACAGGTGATGTTCCACCTCTATCCATAGCGTTAAACCAAATGCAGCTGTCTTGTTTGGCCATAGAGATAGTCCTTGACGTACAACCCTTGGTTAATGACCATTCAGTTACAACAGAACTGAGAATAATAATAATAATAATAATAATAATAATAATAATAATAATAATAATAATAATAATAATAAAGTTGGAAGGGACCTTGGATGTCATCTAGTCCAACCCCCTGCTCAGGCAGGAAACCCTATACCATTTCAGACAAATGGCTGTCCAGTCTCTTCTTAAAAACCTCCAGTGTTGGAGCATTCACCACTTCTGGAGGCAGGTTGTTCCACTGGTTAATTGTTCTAACTGTCAGAATATTTCTCCTTAGTTCCAGGTTGCTTCTCTCCTTGATTGGTTTCCACCCCTTGCTTCTTGTCCTGCCTTCAGGGGCTTTGGAGAATAGCTTGACTCCCTCTTCTTTGGGGCAGCCCCTGAGATACTGGAACACTGCTATCATGTCACCCCTCATCCTTCTCTTCATTAAACTAGAGATACCCAATTCCAGCAACCGTTCCTTATATGCTTTAGCCTCCAGTCCCTTAATCATCTTTGTTGCTCTTCTCTGTACTCTAGAGTCTCAACATCTTTTTTACATCGCGGTGACCAAAACTGGATGCAGTATTCCAAGTGTAGCCTTACCAAGGCATTGTAAAGTGGTATTAACACTTCACATAATCTTGATTCTATCCCTCTGTTAATGCAGCCTAGCACTGTGTTGGCTTTTTTGGCAGCTGCAAGTGACTTATGACCATTTTTTGTTCTTACAACCGTTTACAGTATCTCCATAGTCATGTCCTCAAAATCTGGATATTTGGCAACCAGTTTCTATTTACGACGGTCGCACTGTCCCGAGGTCATGCGATCCCCTTTGGCAACCTTCTGACAAGCAGTCAATGGGGAAGCCAGATTCACTTAACAACCGTGTTATTGTCATATAGGTTATGTCATGACCTTTCTTGACACCGTTGTTAAGTGAATCGCTGCGATTGTTTTATTCCACCCTCATAACCAACCCAAGGAACTGCTGAACCACAAAATGATCAGATAACAGTATTTTTTTTTCTGTGCAGGTTTTTTTTCTTTTTTATATATAAACAGAATTATTTCCTACTTTGCAACAAACTCCGCAAGCCAACTCCTTAATCTTTTTTTTTTAACATATATATTTATATATACCATATGCTTTTTTTTCTGCTTGATTTTGCTGTTTTTTTCCCCCCTCCTCATATTCACAGAGGCGTCAACAGGATCAAACAGTACAAATTGTGACCACAAATCCAGTTGGCAACCTTAAAGATATATTTTTTTTCCTTTTTTTTAGGGAAGGGCAGGTGACTGGTATATATAGATATCTTTTTTTAAAAAAAAAATCAGGTCTATGTTACTTGCTGTTACAATAGTATTTTATCATTTTAGGAACCATTTATTGTGTTTTTTTTTATTTAAAAAAAATTCTGTTCAGAAGTGGGTAGAAGGGAAGGACACAAAATAGAGATTTCTTTTTTTTAGAAAAAAACCTCATCTCCTGATTTTTTTTTTAACCTGAAATCCTAAAACACTGCTGAAGTTTAATTAAAAAATTATATAATATCAAAAAACACACACAAAAAAAGCAACCCTGTTGTCATTCAATCCACCACTATTGCCTTTCCTAACGACCTGGGTTTCAGCTATCATACAAACACCGTACCTCTATACAAACGCGCTTTTAAACTAATAAAATAAAGATTACTTACAAGAGAGGGGGGGAAAGAGAAAAAGACAGAGAAAGGAAGGGATTGAGGGTGACTGAAAGGGGAATTTTTAAGGAGGGGTTTTCTGCCCAGTGCCTTACAAAATGGGGGAAAAAAAGAACGTGAGACAATGATTGGAGGAACTGGGTGGCTTGAGTTAAGAGGACGGGAGCAAAAAGGCATAAATTCGGCATTATGCTTGTTCTCTCGGTGACAAAATGCAGCTAAAAATCCTGTTGGCTGGATTTGCAAGTCCCCAGAAACTGAGATAAAATTCTGCTCCGGATTAAAACAAACAAACAAAAAAGAACGCACCTTGCCTACAAATGCAAGTTTTTCTTGTTTTCTTTCTGCCTAAGCCCGTTTCCAACCTCGTCACGAAACAGTGCGCTGTCTGCAGGCCGTGTTCAAATTAACTGGCTAATTCTTGCGCGGAGTGTGCGTGTGTGTGTGTACGTGTGAAGCTGACCCGCTGCATTTATTTTTTTTTCCGTTACACCAGAGGTACCTGTGACAAGGAGTCCCTCTGGCTATGTTTGCACCCAAATTGGGAGCGTGCCCTTGATTGCAAGAGGCCAAAAAACGTGCAGAAGAGACAAGAGAAAAATCTAGGGTGTTTTTTTTTTTGTTTTTTTCCTTTTAAACAGCCAAACTCAAGGAAGGGTGTGAGCCCCCCACCTCCCCCGAGTCCCCACCCAGGAAAGGGCGACAGAAGTCAGTGAACCCGTGTTAAAAATCTATTATATATATATATAAAAAAAATTGCAGGATTTTGCCTGTCGAATCTTAATACGGCCCCGGGGGGGCGGAAGGAAAGAAAGGGAGGACAGAGAGAGGGAGGGGGACAAAGATGCACCTGGTAGGAAGACAGCCAGACACCATCTTTAAGAGCAGTAGCAAGGTTTGGGGTAGAAAAGCCCCCCCCAAGTCCCCTCTCTCCACCACCTCCTCCCTCCTGCCCCCCCCCTCCCCACATCCCTGCCCTCAAACGGAAAGCAAGGAGGCAAAGGTTCATCCAGAGGCCATGGATTTGGTGTGTCATTGTTGTCGGGATTCAGAGGGGATTCGGTTTATATATTAAAAAAAACCCCCCAGAAGAACTGGAGATGCTGAGATTCGTTCGGCGTGTAGGCAGAGGCGAAAAAAAGGGGCTACTGCCCTGGGGCGTCGCCCACCATTTCAATTCCGTGCTGTTGAAGCTGTGCTCTCAAAAGGGCGTTTTCGTTCTTCAGCTGCTCGATCTATTGCGGAAAGGGGAGGGGGGGGAGGAGGAGGAGGAGGAGGAGGAGAAGAAAAGGGTGAGTGTCTCAAACTGGGGAAAAGCGGAGTCGAGAATAAGGAAACGCAACTGGGTGCTGCAAAAAGGTACAACAGGCGGACCGTAACGGAGCCTGGAATGTCCCTCATAGGTCATGAAGGTTGTAAGTTGGGGGGCTCACGTCACCAAGTCAGAATAACAGAATAACAAGAGTTGGAAGGGACCTTGGAGGTCTTCTAGTAGAGCCTCAACATCTTTTTTTATATCATGGCGATGAAAACTGGATGTCTGTTTTTGTAACTTTTTTTGTGATAGCTCTAAAGTGGACACTGTGGTCATAAAGCAAGTCCATTTATTCTTAGGGATGTTTTTCAGCAGAAAGAGGGTGAAAGAAAACACACACCAGGCAGGCACGTGTGTGCATGCGCAGATGCACCCGTTTTGTGAAAGCAAAGGGACTTACTCTGTTTATATTATACATGCAAACATATAAACTGCCCATCTCCTCTTGTTCTGAGATAGCATTTAACTGCAAAAGCTGAAATTATACTTTGCCAGACCTAACAGAATTTGCTCCAAGACCGTGTGACCTGGAAGAGGTCCCTGAAGCAGGACATCTGTACCAAATCACAACTCACTACTGTGACTACAAGTAGCCCTCAACTTACAACAATTCATTCAGTGAATGTTCAAAGTTACAACGGCACTGAAAAAAGTGACTTACGACTGTTTTTCAGTTACGACCTTTGGAGCAGCCCCCTAATCATGGGATCAAAATTCAGAGACGTGGCCACTGGTTCATATTTATGACCGTGTCCAGGGATCGCGCGATCCCCTTTTGTGACCTTCTGACAAGCCAAGTCAAGGGGGGAACCAGATTCACTTAACTGGGTTATCAATTTATTAACTGCGGTGACTCGCTTAACGACTTGGGCAAGAAAAGTTGTAAAATGGGGCCAAACCCAACACATGTTTCACTGAACAACAGAAATCTGGGGCTCCGTTGTGGTTGTAAGTCGAGGAGTACGTGTACTCGGTTTTATTGCTGGCCACAATCCCAAACCCTGCTCCAAAGTAAGAGGGGAAGAATGTGGGCTGAGCTACCTGTTGCCGTAGCAGATCATTATCCATCTGAAGCCTCTCGGCTTCCTTGAACGTCTCCTGCATACGCTGGTTCGTCTGGCGCAGCTCCCGGATGTAGTCACAGGCTTTGGAGAGGATGCCCCCTTTGCTCTGGAAGAGAGAAAAAAGGACCAGGCCATCAACTGGGTGACCCCCTTCTGCTCTGCCTGAGCTTGGATGGGAAGCATCTTCACGATCACCAGACTTCTCTGAGGCCCTTCCTCCTTTACATACCTTCAAACCATGCAAGGAATAGCTGGCTCTGTTTTTAGGATGGGACTTATTTATTTGTGACTGGCGAATGGAATGGAATATGAATATGAATACGAATAGAATATGAATAGAATAGAATAGAATAGAATAGAATACTGTAGAATGGAATAGAATAGAATAGAAATAAGAATAGAATAGAAATAAGAATAGAATAGAATACTGTAGAATGGAATAGAATAGAATAGAAATAAGAATAGAATAGAAATAAGAATAGAATAGAAATAAGAATAGAATAGAATACAACAGAACAGAACAAAATAGAATAGAATAAGAATAGAAATGAAATTAGAATAGCAATGAAAATGGAATGGAATGGAATAGAATAATGGACTGGACTGGACTAGGAGCTGGAAGGGACCTTGGAGGTCTTCTAGTCCAGCCCCCTGCTCAAGCAGGAGAACCTATACCATTTCAGACAAATGGCTGTCCAGTCTCTTCTTAAAAACTTCCAGTGTTGGAGCATTCACAATTTCTGGAGGCAGGTTGTTCCACTGATTAATTGTTCTAACTGTCAGGAAATTTCAGATAAATATTGATTTATTTGAATTTACAGAGCATGCTGTTATAGTCAAAAAGTAAGCATTAAGTGCTGTTTTCTATCTGCCTGAGTCAACCTCAGTGCCTGGTGACGTCTTTATCTCTGGTCTTGAAAACCACAAAGAAATTGTTCATCACAGACTTTCCTCAAGATGGTTGAAGTTGTTTCCATCACAACCACACTCACACACACACACTTCCTAGAGTTTTAGGACTATTTATGGACCTGGTAGCTTCCCATTTGAGTACTAATGAGGTCCAAGCCTCTTAGCTTTTTGAATTCAGGCAAAACTGGCCAACTGTGGCCACAGCTTCAGGATTTCTCAGGTGGAAAAGGTGTCTTGTGGGGTTCTACTCAGCTAAGGAGAAATCACTAAGAATAAATGTCTGCAAATCTATGGAATTCTTCAAGCAGGAACTCTCAATGATGACTGCGCCAGGTTATGCAAATGTAGAAACAACAGCTCATTTGCATGTCTTCCTCCTTCTACTGCAGGGGTCTTCAAACTTGGTCCTTTTATGACTTGTGGACTTCAACTCCCAGAATTCCTCAGCCAGGCACGCTGGCTGAAGAATTCTGGGAGTTGAAGTCCACAAGTCATGAAGGGGCCATAGTTCCCCCATGCTGGCTGAGGAATTCTGGGAGTTGAAGTCCACAAGTCATAAAAGGGCCAAGTTTGAAGACCCCTGTTCTACTGAGTTGGATGACATTATCTATCTCCCATCAGAGTAAAATAAGTGGGATCTTAGCCTCCCAACTAACCAATTAGCTATTTCAGAAGACTGCAAAGGTGAATCTCATTGCTACCATCACTGGAATTAGTGAATAGACAGACCGTCAGCTGAGGAGCCAGGGATAGGTCAAGGTAAGTGGTACATATCAGGGTGCACACCAGAATTTCTGTAGTCTCTGCTACCTCAAAGATACCAATAGGTTGGAATTCAAAATCAGAATTATTTGGTATAGTTCTTTTTATCAAAAGTGCAGTAGGAGAAAGGGATTGCTAACTTTCTTCCTAGTTATCATCCCCTCAAAATTGGAATATAACTTTTCATCATCTTGAGCAGGCAATGGCCCCACAACTCAATACTCAAGCAGGAGCGGATATTTCCACCCGATATAATCCGACTGAACAGTACCAGTGGTTCCAATTAGTCCACAATTCTGCCATCTATAGCAGTGGTTCTCAACCTTTTTAATGCCGCGACCCCAACCGGTCGTAAGTCGAGGACTGAACCGGTCGTAAGTCGAGGACTGAACCGGTCATAAGTCGAGGACTACCCAACCGGTCGCAAGCCGAGGACTTTCCCTGCCCGGGAGCGCGGCACATGCGTGGTTCCGCCCCCTGCGCCGGCCGAGGCGTAGCTGGCAAGCGGCAGAGACGGAGCAGGCCGACCACCAGCTGGCCCAGCCCAAGGGAGGTAAGGCACCCACCAGAAAAGGGGGAAAAAATGGTGGACAAAAAAAATGGCGGACAGCCTTGCTTGGCGACCCCCGTGAAATGGTTGATCGACCCCAAATGGGGTCCCGACCCACAGGTTGAGAACCACTGATCTATAGGCAGTCCAGTGAGGCTGTAATTACCCAAAACAATTTAAACAAGGTAACACAACAGGGAAAATTCATCTGGGAAAAACAATCTGGGAAAGTCTCCAGCCTTGCTGGAACCATGGAAGGGTGACCTGGGGCATCTCTTCACGAGAGAAGCCTAACATCTCCTCCCCAAAGCAAAACATTGTTCCTTCTGGGCTACCCACCCCCCAAGCAACTGCCCTCACCGCCCCTGTCTTGGTGTTGTCTGTATTGCAGTCTGGAATGATTTTTGACAGCTGTACGATCCAATTGTTGATCTTGTCCCGCCTCCTCCGTTCAACTAAAAGAAAAAGAAAAAAAAAATAAGATGCTGATCAAATATGGCAACCTGACAATAACATGTGGAAGGACGGAATGACTGGCTTTGGAGTCTGTGCAACATGTGTTCCATCAGATGTTGCTGAACTACAATTCCCAGCATTCTTCTCCAATAGGTGGGAAGTCAGGAGCCAATAGGTACCGGAAGTTCACTATCTGGAGCGCTTCCTTCCTTTGCCAATTTGGAAAAAATAGTAATAATACTTATATACTGCTTCAGAGTGCTTTACAGCCCTCTCTAAGTGGTTTACAGAGTCAGCCTATTTGCCCCCAACGATCTGGGTCCTCATTTTACCAACCTCGGAAGGATGGAAGGCTGACTCAACCTGGAGCCAGTCAGGATCAAACTCTTGGCAGTGGGCAGTTAGCCTGCAATACTGCATTCTAACCACTGCGCCACCATGACCCTTTTCAAGAATTGGGAAAAGGGAAAGAACGTGGTCTTTCTAAATCAGTGTTTCTCAACCTTGGCAACTTTACGATGTGTGGACTTCAACTCCCAGAATTCTCCGGCTAGCAACGCTAGCTGGAGAATTCTGGGAGTTGAAGTCCACACATCGTAAAGTTGCCAAGGTTGAGAAACACTGTTCTAAATCATGTTTTAGAGCAATGCAGTCCTTCCTCATCTGATTAGGGCACAAATCTGGAGACTGGAGAGAGCTCACTCAACTTTGCTGTTCTGCCTACCTTCGTTGTGCTGAGCTCTTCGCCTCTCATCCCGGGGCGTTCGATTCCCGTCCATTTTCCTAGAATTTGAAGGGAATGAGTTGAACGAATCAGAAGGCCAGCAGCTTTCAGAGACTCTGTCTCTGAAACAGATATGGCAAGGATTCAAGGACTCGTGTTGATTGTATGATTATAATACGGTAGGATAAGAGTCTCAAGCAGAAATTTTACTCTTAGTCACCCATGTTACAAGAATGTTGCCAGGCTGACTGCATTCCCTTGGGAATGGTCAGATAAGGCTTCAGGGATTTTAATAATAATAATAATAATAATAATAATAATAATAATAATAATAATAATAATAATAATAATAATAATAACAACAACAACAACAACAACAATAATAAAATAAAAATAATAATAATAGTTGGAAAGGACCTTGGAGGTCATCTAGTCCAACCCCCTGCTCAGGCAGGAAACCCTATAGCCTTTCAGACAAATGGCTGTCTACTCTCTTCTTAAAAACTTCCAGTGTTGGAGCATTCACAGCTTCTGGAGGCAGGTTGTTCCACTGATTAATTGTTCTAACTGTCAGGAAGTTTCTCCTTAGTTCTAGGTTGCTTCTCTCCTTGATTAGTTTGCATCCGTTGCTTCTTGTCCTGCCTTCAGGCGCTTTGGAGAATAGCTTGACTCCCTCTTCTTTGGGGCAGCCCCTGAGATATCGGAAGACTGCTATCATGTCCCCCTCGTCCTTCTCTTCATTAAACTAGACATACCCAATTCCAGCAACCGTTCCTTATATGTTTTAGCCTCCAGTCCCCTGATCATCTTTGTTGCTCTTCTCTGTACTCTTTCTAGAGTCCCAACATCTTTTTTACATCGTGGTGACCAGAACTGGATGCAGTATTCCAAGTGTGGCCTTACCAAGGCATTGTAAAGTGGTATTAACACTTCACGTGATCTTGATTCTATCCCTCTGTTAATGCAGCCCAGCACTGTGTTGGCCTTTTTGGCAGCTGCAGCACACGGCTGGCCTTTGAGGAAGTTAATCCTGTGCTTCTTTCTGCAGTGCAAAGACTCTAATCTCGGCCCTTCCTTCAGCTGGAAATTCCACCCCACAAATCCCCCAATAATGGCCTGATCCATCCTTCCTTAGCTGCCTTTCTTTATGTTCTGGCACATCTGCTTTCTCTCCTCCCCAACACCAGCATTACCTGCTTGTGGTCCCACTTGTTCTGCCTTCTTCCAGCTCGCCTCCCTCCTCCCCCCCCCCCCAGCCACACTACAGAATGTCCAGAACTTCCCTGACTGCAAGACCCTGATTGAAACTTCAAGCGTGTGTCCAAAGCAATACGTACGGGGAATAGGGGTGGGTGCGGGGAGCTATAGTACGTTGCGTTCCCGTCTGCAACACGTCTTGGGGGGTCATCATCACGTAGAACTGACCTGAGGGAGAAGATATTACACCACCAAATAAATAAATAAAAATTGGAAAAAAAAGGGGGGGGGGAAGAGAGAGATGTCTGCAAGAAAATGTTGCAATGCCAAATGCTTGCATGAGAAGACCTAGCTGTTCATTTTTGTCCATCTGCCACTCACCCCCCATTCCCAATTTTCCTCCTCCTTCTCACAATAAATCTGAAATTTGGCTGTTGAGATGGTCTGTCCTCACTGGGTTGTTCCTTTATCTCTTCTACTCCCTCCTCTCCCCCCCCAAAAAAACCAGTTTCAAGGAATGGATGTAGTATTGCTTATGTGTGGCAATACTAAACACATGGCTATTTTTTATATATATAAAAAACTATTAAACCGTTTCTTCAGGTAGAATCCTCACTGATTTGCTAACATAAGGAGCTAAACTGAGCTTGGACAGTTTACAATTTATTGACTTGTGGGGTGGACCCACAATCTTAACCTGTGGTGTCCATTAGATCAAGTCAGATGGGTTTATTTGTCTGGGTAAAGCCTGTTACGTAAACAGAGCAACTATTTTGTTCATCAGAGTTTTAACCTGTGGCGCTGTGATCTTTTCTTGTAATCAATACAGTTTTGACTCTTTTTTTCATAGAACATAATAACTATGAACATCTAGCTAGATAGTAGCATTTAATTAGTCTGGGCTAATTTTGATAAAGTAAACAGGATCCAACTTAGTTTTGCTTTTATATTGTGGACACCAGGAAATTCCAGGAGTATGAACCAGCTTGGAAAGCCGAAACAACATTCTGGGAAAAAATGCAATGAAAAACTATTTCTGTATCTGGTGGCCAAGAATGCTGGTTCCAATGGTGTTTGTAAGCCGAAGACTTCAAAGACACGTCAAAGGAAGGTTTGGATTTGTAGATTATTCAGCAACTTTGCCCCACGATGTTATCCCCTCTAGAACTGGGGATCTCAACACCCGGTCTTCTCAAAGAACAAGGCCAGTATTGAAATTCACACGTCTGAAAGCCACCCAGATGACGAAGACTAGCCTTGGAAAAACAATCAAAGAGACAGGAATGGCCTAGTCCAGGGGTAGGCAACCTTGGCTCTTTTATGACTCGTGGACTTCAATTCCCAGAATTCCTGAGCCAGCCATGCTGAGGGGAAAGGGAGAGGTTTCCAAGCTGAGCCATGCTGGCTCAGGAATTCTGGGAGTTGAAGTCCACGAGTCATAAAAGAGCCAAGGATGCCTACCCCTGGCCTAATAGTCTTGTTTTAGACATGAAATGCTGGCTGGGCCAATCACCAGGAGACTGTGAATTCTAGTCCTGCCTTAGCTATGGAAGCTGGCTGGGTGACTTTGGGTCAGTCCTTCTCTCTCAGCTCAAGTTACCTCACAAGATGTGGAGAAAATAGGAGGAGGAAAGAATATTGTGCGTGTTCGCCCCCTTGAGTTATTTATAAAAATAATACAAGCAGGATAATAAATACACACTGATAGTCTTCGGCTTAACGACCACAACTGAGCCAAAAGTTTCTGTTGCTAAGCAAGGCAATGTGTTGAGTGAGTTTTGCCCCATTTGACAACCTTTTTGCCACAGCCGTTAAGCGAATCACTGCAGCTGTTAAGTGAATCATGAAGTCGTTAAGTGAATCTGACTTCCCCCATTGACTTTGACAGTCGGAAGCCAGCTGGGAAGGTCGCCAATGGCGATCACATGACTCTGGGACAGTGCAACCGTCATAAGTACATGCCAGTTGCCAAATGTTCGAATTTTGATCAAGTGAACATGGGGTCATAAGTGTGTGAAAAACGGTCCTAAATCACTTTTTTTCAGTGCCGTTGTAACTCTGAATGGTCATTAAACAAATATAAAGGTAGGCAACACCTGGGCCCTCCCAGGGATTGCGATTCCAATCCCCATCAGCTCCAGATAGAATGGTCAATGATTGGGGATGGTAGGGGTGATAGTTCAAGAGAAGTGGAGGCCATCAAAGCACCTTTCTGGGGTCCCTGATTTCCTACCTCCAGCTTGTGTCAGTGACTGATCGGTTGTCTGTACGGACACTGCGGTGGCGTCCCCCACGGTGGAAGCAGGGAAGTATGCAAAACGGGCTTCACCGCTCACAGCATCTGTGGCTGGGCTCCCACCATTACTGAAAGGGTTCTGAATCACCGCCTGGAAAGAGAAGGGGGATGCATTTGTGGACCTGTGCGCAGCAAAAATCAAACCACCCAAAGCAAGATAAATAATGCAGAAAGAGCAAGAGGGAAGCCTTGAGTCTACCGCAGGAGATGACTGGCACAGAAAACCCAGCCCTTACTTGTTATTCATGCTGGCTAGGAGTGATCAGAGTAGCTGGCCAACAGCTGGGTCTAAACCAGGGGTAGTCAACCTTGGCTCTTTTATGACTCGTGGACTTCAATTCCCAGAATTCCTGAGCCAGCTTAGCTGGCTCAGGAATTCTGGGAGTTGAAGTCCACGAGTCATAAAAGAGCCAAGGTTGACTACCCCTGGTCTAAACATTAGGATGCTCAATTAAGTCAAGATTTTGTGCTAAGTATGAAACGGTCCAGAAACAGCTTTCCATTAGTAGAGGAGAGAGGAAAGCAAGGAGTGAAGCTGTAGTGATTAACTCAAGGTATACACTGCCCTCTTGTGTTTAAGAACAGGTAACAGATTAAAAACAGCCAGTTTGGTGTGCTGATGAAGGCACCAGGCTAGAAAGTGGGAGATGGTGAGTTCTAGTCCTGCTTTAGGCAAAAAGCCATCTGGCTAATTTTGTGCCAGTCACTTTCTCTCAGCCCCAGGAAACAGACAACGGCAAACCACTTCTGCAAAATCTTGCCAAGAAATTTGCATGGATACCATCTGTCTGCAAGCAAAGTCATTGAAAAAGAAGAAGGCAAAGTGTTCTGGGATTTTAGAATTCAACACACAAGCACCTACTACACAACACCCCAGACTTAGCAACTTGATGAGAAAGAACTGGAGAAAAATCACAAAACACAAAGACCTGCAAACAGAAGTAGAATAACTGTGGCAAAAGAAAGCAAATAAGTTCCAATAGCGATAGGGCCCTTGGGTGTTAATACCAAAACATCTGGAGCACCACTTGAACATCACTGGCATTGACAAAAATCACCGTTAAGTCATTTGCAAAAGGCAGCTTTACTCAGAACAGCTTACATCCTCTGACGCCATCAAACCACAACATCTGTCTATCTCAGGACCTTTGGAAGGACTTGACAGGTGGTTAAAATAGCAAATCCAGTCTGAACATCTGGTTACATCTGTGCGACCAATCATAACAATAATGCTAATATTGGGGTTAGCCAAACCACTTCTCACCTGAGCAACAGCTTGCTGACCACTGGTGAAAGCTGCGGTCGAGACCACACTAACGGCCCCCGTTGCATCCGTTTGTCCATCCAGCTGACTGTCCGTCACCTGAACTACTCTGTATGTCACCTGGGGAGAAACAGCAGAAGCCATGTCACGCTTCTGGCTGAAGTGGTATTTATAAAGATGGGGAGGAATAAGGCAATGTTCAACCCCCTTGAACAGGGGTAGGCAACCTTGGCTCTTTTATGACTCGTGGACTTCAACTCCCAGAATTCCTGAGCCAGCCACGCTGAGGAGAAAGGGAGAGGTTTCCAAGCTGAGCCATGTTGGCTCAGGGATTCTGGGAGTTGAAGTCCACGAGTCATAAAAGAGCCAAGGTTGCCTACCCCTGCCCTTGAAGATCTCAAAATAATCAAACCCTGCTATGGGATGATTTCCACAATGAAAAACGCTTTTTGTTTTTGTTTTTGGAGTGCAATGAAATCAATCAGAAACAGGAGCGAATTCCCATAAGCTAGGGATAGGCAACCTTGGCTCTTTTATGACTCGTGGACTTCAACTCCCAGAATCCCTGAGCCAGCATGGCTGGCTCAGGAATTCTGGGAGTTGAAGTCCACGAGTCATAAAAGAGCCAAGGTTGCCTACCCCTGAGCTAGGCGTTTGCTCGCTGTATCCCTTCATCTTCAAATTGCAAGCGAGGCCGTTGTTTAATTGCCGGAGCTCCATCCAAAGTCCCAAAGCCAACCTTCCCAACACGGGCATTACCTGTCCACCATTGTTCTCTGTTCGAAACTGGTACTGAATATTATGGTCTGCAAAAGCTGCTTGCTGGACACTGGCAATGGCCACTGCGGTCTGTTCATCTGCATTTGTGCCGTCCCCTGTAGAGAAAGGAAAGAGATTTCAGTTGACAGCTATGAGCGATGGACCGGAAAGTTTAACAACATCCAGTGAATTCTAGATCCCTGACAGACAGGAAACCAGGTTGGGAGGGTGTGGATTTGTGTCAGGGACTGCAGAAGGCTGATTTTTTTTGGGGGGGGGGGAGCTGCTCTTGAGAGTGGAACTCTCACTGTCAGCCTATTTCAAACATTAGCCGTAGCAGGATTGAATATTTTCACATTTACATCAGGCTGATCTGGATTGCGATTTTAATGTCCATTGTTCTCTTCTATCTGGGATGTACAGCTCTGACAGCCAGTGGGGCATTTGTAAGAGAAGAAGGTGCACAGGCAGTCCTCGACTTACAACAGTCCATTTAGTGGCTGTGTTGAAGTTACGACTGCGCTGAAAAAAAGGGACTTGCGACCGTTTTTCACGCTTAACGACCGTTGCGGCCTCCCCCGTGGTCACGTGAATCAAAATTCAGACACACTTGGCCGCTCCTCTTTATGATGATGTGGTCGCCCTTTGCAACCTTCTTACAGGCCAGGCCAGTGGGAAGGACAGATTCATTTAACAACCGGAGTGCTAGCTTCACAACTGCAGTGTTTCACTTAACGGCTGGGGCGAGAAAGGTCATTCAATGGAGCAAAACTCACTCAACTGTCTCGCCGAGCAACAGAAATTTTGGGCTCGTGAGTCGAGGGCTTACATGTAGGTTGCCCACTTTGGAACCCCACAGAGCTGAGCATGTGTCAAAACGCTGTGCAAACCTGGAGCACATGCTACCTTTCGAACTGATCTTAGTAGTGTGGTTGTGGGACCAGGGGAGGCAGAAAGAGAACTCCTAGCACAGGCTTTGCTTGACTGCCATGGAAGGGAAGGCACATTATACACCTAACGGAGCTCTCCAAAGGCTACTGGGCTACAACTCCCACTGGCTACACCGATTGTATAACCCAGGGGTCTTCAAACTTGGCCCTTTTATGACTTGTGGACTTCAACTCCCAGAATTCCTCAGCCAGCGTGCCTGGCTGAGGAATTCTGGGACTTGAAGTCCATAAGTCATAAAAGGACCAAGTTTGAAGATCCCTGATGTAGACCCTCTTCCTATCCATTCCTTTTTGCCCTGCAAAACTGGCCAACTGTGGCCACAGCTTCAGGATTTCTCAGGTGGAAAAGGTGTCATGTGGGGTTCTACTCAGCAAAGGAGAAACCACTAGGAATAAATGTCTGCAAATCTATGGAATTCTTCAAGCAGGAACTCTCAATGATGACTGTGCCAGGTTATGCAAATGTAGAAACAACAGCTCATTTGCATGTCTTCCTCCTTCCTACTGCAGGGGTCTTCAAACGTGGCCCTTTTATGACTTGTGGACTTCAACTCCCAGAATTCCTCAGCTTGAGCCAGCCTGGTGTACGGTAGCTGCTGCCCAGACAAGAGAAGGCCAGTGGGGATTGGTGTGGTTTCCAACAATTTTTTTCCTTTCAGAACAGTCAGTTAGAAAGTTGGCCTTTTCCAACAAATTAACCCAGTGGCTTTGATCGGTAGTTGCTTTTAAACCATGGGTCTTCAAACTTGGCCCTTCCTGGCTGAGGAATTCTGGGAGTTGAAGTCCACAAGTCATAAAAGGGCCACGTTTGAAGACCCCTGGTATAACCAGCTGTGGTCTGGTTATACTTGCAGGACTCTGGGCTTCCTTGAGACAAGGGACAGTCCCCCTTGCAGATGGATAGTTCTCCTCTCTCTCAAATCAGTATTCAACAGTGCATGTTGTACCCTGCGTGTGCTAGGCCACAAAAAACTAAGCATGCTAACAGCAGCGAGGATTGTATTTGCTCAGCACTGGAAAAATGAAAAAAAAAAAACATTGTTGGAGGAAGAGATAACCAAGAAAATGCTGGACTGTGCTGAAATGGACAGACTGACACTGAGAATCAAAGAAAAAGAAGACACGGAATATTTTCAAACATGGAACTTATTTTATCAAGGGCTGGGAAAACGAGATGGAGAGCAAGAACTTAACTTCTATTACTAAGCAAAAAATTAACCCAGACAACACGTTGTTCATTAAGCACTATTGAATGGCAATAATAGAAAATTAATAAAATAGTTTAAAAACAACAACATAAGCATGCTGGATTTTGGCTGCAAAAACCTCTGCAGACTAGATCCAGACAGAAGGCAAGACAGCTATGCTCTCGTTTTTATACTTCGGGATCCCCGGCTGCAGAAATCCCAGCCACGCAACATATTCGGGGGATTTCTGGACCAGCCCCAAAGTTTTCCTCACCTTCCCGTAGCTCAACTCCATCTTCACTTTCTTGATCTTTCTCGTGGCTGAAACACAAAAAGGAAGAACCAAGAGTTCAGCTCTATTTCCTTCCTGCCAGATATGGGGAAGGGAGGGAACACACGGAGGATATATTTTTTTTAACCCTTGTAGGATCAAAATGAGTCAGATGAAAAGTTTTAGCAGCACAGAATCACTCCCCCCCCCACACACACACATGTATATGGCTTCAAATGGCTGCCTCCTTTTTAAGGAGTTTTGCAATGCAATTGCCTTGTAATTAACAGCAACACAGAAGTTGCAAAACAGCCTTGATTTGCTACCCTGTATTATAGGAATGTTGCAGCACTTGGCACATTTTGAATTTTAGTCTCCAGCCCTGGTGTTCACCCGTACAGAAAAGCTTCAGAAGGCAAAGATGGAGCTCTTGGCAAGCAAAACAGATCCTGTGTGGGCCAGGGTTACAATTCATGATCAATAAGCTTCTTGGTCTCGGGTGGGTTCCCCAAATGAAGGGCGGAAATCAAATGGCCAATGAGTGGTTGAGGACTTCAAAAGAGCAGGAGTTGAAAACATGGTCAATTGAGAGGGGAGCTTCAGCCCTTGGGACCTGCAAAGCAGAATGTACCCCCCCACCCACCCACCCCACCATGCTCAAGTGTGCAATGAAACAACGTTGTGTCAAGCAACTGAAACGATGCCATCACCTGCAGCTTTCTCCTCCTTACAGAATTCTTTAGAATAGAAAGAAAGAACTATTATTTAGTTCTTCTATATTTCTATTATTTTTTTTTCTATTTTTCCTATGCTTTTTTATTATTAGACATGATAACTAATTTGTGGAGCTATAATGATAAAAAAAGATTGTAATGATGAAAGAGATGAAATTAATAAATGAAGAATTACTGAATAAGAAATAGAATATAGTTGAGAAATGTAAGAATGTAGTTAGGAAAATAATACCGCTGCTGCGCGAGCTGCACTGGTTACCAGTGGCTTTCCGGGTGCGCTTTAAGGTGTTAGTTACCACCTTTAAAGCGCTCCATGGCATCGGGCCTGGATATCTCCGAGACCGCCTTCTGCCACAGATCC